CTAGTAGTTGGAAAGAACGTGAGGCAAACAGGTCTCAGACAAGGGGGAGTTTGTTCAATATTGAACAGGAATTCCAGAGGGCACAGTGGAAGGAATGGTTGGGATTGGAGTGGTTCATGGATGGGGTAAGGTTGAAGAAGATGAGAAGGAGGTGGGGGCTGGGGATAATTTGCTCCTCGTGGCCAGTGATTGATCAGTATAGGGGAAAAGAGAGAAATAGGAAATGGGAAATTATTAGCTATAAGGATGGAAATGGGTGGTAGAATGAAGAATGAAGCTCCAGACAAATTGCTGCTTCCTTCTTTACACTCTCTCTGGGAGAGGAACTGGCGGAGGTCAGCAGAGGGCATTGCTTGCTGCCTGTCTGGGTTGGCCCTCACTTGCTGCCTGTAATTGTAGTTACTCTCCTGCCAGGATGGCTAGGGGGAGGGATATGTTAATTTATTTACTATTTCCCTAATGTTTCTTGCTTTCTTCTCCCTCCAGGTCCTTGGTTGATCATGCCTTGGGAACCTAGTTATTGACTGCTGCTATCATCAACCACTGGATCAATCAATTAAGTATTTGTTAAATGCCTACTATGTGCCAGAAATTGTTCTAGGTTCTGGGGATACAACAGTAAAAAAAGAAATACAAAAAATTTTTGGAGGGGGCACTAGCAGCCAGCATCATTATGAAAGGTGGCATATGGAAGAAGGTAGCACTTGAGCTGAACTTTAAAGGAAACCAGGGATGCGTGCGTATGTATATATGCTCATATAAGTATATTACACATAAGCATATATATGTATACATGCATTCTATTTCCCACCTTCAGACCTTTGCCTGTCTGGAACGCATTCCCTCCCCACCTCTGCTTCTTAACTTTCCTGCTTTCCATCAGGACTCAGTTCAAGCCCTCTTTTCTACCAGAGACCTTTCTGGATTCTCCTCTCTCCCCAGCTGCTAATGCCTCCCCATCAAAATCAGCCCCTATAATTCTGTATTTGTTTTGTGTATATAGGTCTATAACCGAGTGTGCTGCAGCCAGCTCCGACTGGAGAGCCAAGTGTTAAGGTTTCAGTGTCAGCACTTACACCTCAGAAATCAGCAAATACTACAAATCAAGGCCTGACTTATTATTTTGTTGATTGTCTAGACTTAAAGGTATTTTTTTCCTCACAGAGCCAGTTGTTAAACATTCACCAGCATACTCTTGCCCATATAGGTAAATGCTGTCTACCCCTACAGAGTGCACTTTGGGTGGGATTATTTCACTTCTGTCTTTGTGTCTTCAGTGCCTAGGAAGAAGCCTGGCACTTAGTGGGCACTTAGCAAAGGCTTGTTGATGCACTGATAGCTTTCTTACAGTCTGGTGAAATCACCTTAGCAGCTGACCACTCTAGCAGAGCAGAAAGTTCCCCTTCAAGGCCATTAGCAATCTCTTTTGTTTGTAAGAACGGGAAAGGAAACCTGGAGCAAGGGTAGGACTTCTGAGAGCTGAAGGAGACTAGTTTTCCTCTTATTTGCTAGTGCAACCAAACATTTAATTATAAAAGCTTCTCAAAGGCAGTAGATGTTAAAATTAAGATGAATACACTCGTTTTGGCCAAACCATGAACTGCTATTACCCTGAAAGTCCCAATTCATTACTGTATATTGTAACGGAACATTAACACTCGCATAACGACCTCGGAGCCTGCTGAGAATGCACAATGAGGATGCCACCGGGGCCTTTCGGGCTCACAAAAAAGAGTCAGGCACCCTTGGAAAAGTGTGTCTCCAGTGGAAACATTGACAGACCTTTAATTACAATAACACACCATGTGTCAACGCAATACTACAGCTCAATTTATGGGTAAAGCCAGATTCTGGCCCAGGAGGAAAGCCCACATTCGGCGGGAGGCCAGGGCCGCCTCCCTGCCTGCTTGGTCCGTGGCCCTGAATCTCTAGCTCCCTTGTGCTGTACGGTGCATGAGCCTGCAAGGCCTAAGAACTCCTCTTCAGGAGGAAGGATAGCCAGGTTTTGGGAAGAGGGAGGAGTTCCTTCCATGACTAGTTGTAAACAATGACCATTGTCTCGGCAAGGGTCTGGTTCCATTCCTGGGATGGGTCTGGAGAAAGGCTTCTAAAATATCACAGGATTTTGAACTGGAAAAAGACCTGGCAGCAGGGGTGTGCTGGAGCCAGCTCCAACCAGCTAGAAAGAGCCTACTGTTAAAATTTCATCACGAACACTTACTCCTCAGAAACTGGCAAATCAAGCCTTGATGTATTGTTTCTTTGATTGTCCTGGCTTAAAGTGATGGGGAAAATGTTTATGACGCAGGTTGACCTTAATAGTGTGTTGTCCATACTAGCTGTTTTTGTTGCTGTCTGTTTGTCTAGAGAGCCAGTTATTAAATACTCACCAGCATACCTCTGCCAAAGAAGTCATCTCATCCAAATCTTTTATTTTAAAATCAAAGAAACTGAGCCCTAAACAGAGCTGGAATTGGACCCAGTTCCTCTGACTCTGAATCTTGTATTACATCACGTGGGACTTGCTTGTCCACCATGGGAAGAAACACTTGTCCCAGCCACGTTGCCGGATAGCTTTTTCCAAAGACGCATTTGTATAGTGCTTCATACTTTTCAAAGTTCTTTAGGTACAAGGTCTTATTCAATCCTCAAAATAAGCATTTGAGGTAGTTAAGACAGAGATGATGATGATGACAACAGCAGCTAACATTTATATGGTGCTTTAAGGTTTGCGAAGCCTTTGCATGTATTATCTCTGGTATCATAGACCCATTGTACAGATGGTGAACCCGAGGCCCAGAGAGATTAAGAGATCTTTTCAGGGTCACAGTGAGTTGTTGGCATAACTAGGATTAGAATTGGAAAGAATAATGGGATCATCTAATCCAGTCCCCACATTTTACAGATGAAGATGCCTAGGCAAAGAGACAATTGGGTTCAGTTTAGGTTCCTATGAACAGAACTGTTTCATTCATTGTATTTGCATCCCAGCACCTAGCCCACGCCCTTCTCCTCGCAAAAGCCAAAACCTCCACTGTGCCCTCTAATTACTCCCATGAACATTCTTTCTTGTTTGCTCATTTTCAGTCTCTCCTTTTCTAATGACTCCTGCCATCCTATTTATAAACATGACCAAGTCTTTCTCCTCCTTAAAAAAAAATTTAAAAAAAACCAAGCCTCTATAGGGGCAGCTGGTGGCACAGTGGATTAGAACAGTGGCCCTGGAGACAGGAGGGCCTGAGTTCAAATCCAACCTCAGACGCTTACTAGCTGTGTGACCTTTGGCAATTCACTTAATCCCAATTGCCTCAACCTTTCACTTGACCCTGTCTTCCCCTCAAGCTCTCAGCCTTTTCTCCCCTCCCTTTTACTGTCCATCTCCTAAAAGAGTGTCCCGCTAGGATGCCTCCATTTCCTGCCTGCCTTTACAGCCTGGCTTCCAATCTCTCCTCCAAACTTCCTCGTTGTTGTCAGGGGCTCTGTCCTCCTCTGAGCCACCCAGGCTTATAAACTCAGAGACATCTTTGACTTTTTTCCTCCTCATATTCCAGCAGTTGCTGAGTTTCATTAACTTTACCCCATGATAGCTCTTCTTCCCGTGCTCTCCTCCTCTCTAATACAGTTCCAATTCTAGTTCAGACCCCTGATCACCTCTTGCCTAGACTTCTGTAATAGCTTCCTAATTGGTCTTCTTCATTCCATTCTCTTCCCTCTCTAACCCATTCTGCACACAGCTGTCAAAATAATCTTACTAAGGCACAGTTGTGACCACATCATTCCCCTGCTTCGGTGATTGTCTATTGACTCTGAGAGAAAACAGTTTGGCATTCAAAGTCTTCCACAATCTCTCTCCATCCCCTTACTCTCTCTTTAAAATTCACATTTGCTTAGAACTATGAGATTCACAAAGCATTTTCCTCACAACAGTCTTATGAGGGAGATATTGCAAGTGTTATGATCCTCGTTTTACAGATGAGGAAAAAATGGGCAGCTAGGTGGTGCAGTGGATAGAATACAGGACCTGGAGTCAGGAAGACTCATCTTCTGAGTTAACATCTGGCATCAGACACTTACTAGCTGGGTGACTCTGGGCAAGTCACTTAACTCTGCCTCAGTTTCTCATATGCAAAAATAGCAAACCACCCAAGTACAGCTGAGTTCGTGAAAAGTCAGACGTAACTGAACAACGACAATTTTAAAAAAGTTAAATACCATGCCTGTGACATTCTGATTCTAAGTTGAGGCCTCTATGCATTGTGCCATGATCCAAAAAAAATCCTTAACTGTGCTTTATTTGCTCTTCTTCCAAAGCAAGACACCCAGACCTTCTTTCAGCACAATCTTACAGACATTTAAGATCAGTCTCGCCCCTCCCTATACAAATCCGAATTGTATCTTTTTTTTTTTAGTTCATCCCAAATCCTGCAAAATTTATTGTTGGTTCCAGGGGTGCATCTGCAAATATTTAACAACTGGCTCTCCGAAAAGAAAGTGTATGCACAACATACTAAATTTAATCTGTATTATCAAGAATTTATTAATCACTTTCTTAAGTCTGGACAATCTTCAAAACAAGAAATTGATCCCTGGTGTGTAATATTACATTGAAAATTTAACCATCAGTTCACGTGAAGCTAGTTTGAGTTGGCTTTAGCACATTTCTGGTTGGTACTATTCCTATATGGCTTATCACATAATGCTTGATATGATAGGTATTTGTCTAAGTGTTTTATCTCTTCTCCTAGATGATAAGCTCTTGGAGCCTAATACTTTACCAAACAACTCAAAGGAACAAAAAAATCTTTCCTTGTTTAACGATGAGGCCATGCAGCGGTATGCTATCATACTTAGTATATCCCATGCCCTTTATAGTAAAGAACAAATCCTTAGTCTAGCAGTCTTACTGTGCCCAGTCCTTTCCTTCCCCTCCGACTGTATCTTAATGAAATAGCCCCAGAATGCAACATAATATAATCATTTATTCTGTCAAACAGGAAATCCTTGGTCCCCTGTAAAAAGAAAGAATTGGACTAGATGAACACCGAGTTCCTTCCAGCTCTAAAAGTAGTTGGCATGCCCAAGTACTGGCTTGGCTCCATATTGCCTCCAATGGTGAGGGCTTTGTTCTAAAATTGATGGTGTCCCATACTGAAGGGATAAATTTTTTATCCGATGAGGACTTTATTCTGACTGCGATGACTTCTGCTTAGCAAGGTATGAAATTCTCTTATTGACATTAATTTCTTGATAAATTATAATCCTCTGCTTTGTCTTAGACTGTCTCATTTATACCATATTGAGGATGATTAGCTGATTCATGGGCAGTTAGGTGGCACTGTGGATAGAGTGCTGGGCCTGGAATGAGGAATACTTATCTTCACGAATTCAAATCTTGCCTCAGAAACTTACTAGCTGTATGACTCTGGGCAAGTCACTTAACTCTGTTTGCCTTGGTTCCTCATCTGTAAAATGAGCTGGAGGAAGAAATGGCAAACCACTCTAGCAGGCTTGCTAAGAAAACCCCAAATAGGGTCACGAAGAGTTGGAAGTGACAAAAACTGATTTGTGGTCATCACACATCTGAGGTACCTCCTCAGATTTAGCCTTTAAACAGAGAAAGGAGCGCAGGAACACAGAGAAAATCAGAGCCAATGAGAAGCCTTTCAGACTTACATGAACTCCAAGTCTTAGGAGAGAAGCCTACACAATTATACACCCCTTCCAAGAAACCACATGCTCCTAATGTGTTGTTGGTGGAGTTGTGAATTGATCCAGCCATTCCGGAGAGCAATTTGGAACTATGCCCAAAGGGCTATAAAAATGTGCATACCCTTTGACCCAGCAATAGCACTTCTAGGGCTATATCCCAAAGAGATCATACAAATAGGAAAGGGACCCACATGTACAAAAATATTCATAGCAGCTCTTTTTGTGGTGGCAAAGAATTGGAAATTGACAGGATGCCCATCAATTGGGGAATGGCTGAGCAAGTTGTGGTATATGAATGTAATGGAATACTATTGTACTATAAGAAATGATGAACAGGCTGATTTCAGAAAAACCTGGAAAGACTTGTATGGTCTGATGCTGAGTGAAGTGAGCAGAACCAAGAGAACATTGTACACAATAACAGCCACATTGTGCAATAACTAATATTGATAAACTTAAACCTTCCCAGCAATACAAGGATCTAAGACATCTCCAAAGGCCTCGTGATGGAAAATGCTATCCACATCCAAAGAAAGAACTGTGGAATTTGAATGCAGATTGAAGCATACTGTTTGCTATTTGTTTTTCCTCTTCTAATGAGTTTTGTTTCCTCTTTCTGGTGGTTCACCCTATTGGTTCTAATTCTTACTTACAACATCACTCACGTGAAAATATGTTTAATAGGAATGTATAGGTATAGCCTATATCAGATTGTGTGTTGTCTTAGGGAAGTAAGTGAGGAGGAAGGGGAAGAAAAATTTTAAACTCAAAAGCTTATGGAAGTGATTGTTGATAAATCAAAATAAATTAATAAATAAAAAGAAGAAACCATGTACTCCAGAGAACCATGAAGCCCCAGGGACAGTAATAGATAGAAGCAGGGGTAGAACATTAAAGAGCTCCTGGCCTAATCTGGAAGCTACAGACATTTTAGATGGCAGCAATGGAATGGCAGTGGTGGAGTGATTAGTGGAAGAGTTCCTAGTGCAGCACAGGAGCTAAGGGGCAATAAGGAATGTGGCTACAATGTGGAAGAGAAAATCAAAGCCATTCCCATCCTTGGTACTGTGAGTTATATAGACTGTGTAGTCCACAGAAAGAGGTTGACTCTCTAGCAACTCAGAATGTTTTTCTGAGCAGAGGCAGTTCATTCCAAGGTAATACTAAAAGTGTGGGGGACTATATATGTACAGTTTCTTCGAAGAACTGTGTCTCATGGGTGGCTCTTTAGCAGCCCCAAGTGCTTTCCCTTTTGGGGAATAGGGAAGAGGAACATAAAAAGAATGTGATGGGTGAAATCTGAAATAACTGAGGAAACAAAGGTCTGAGCTTTGAACATACTGATTTATTAAGCAATGTGTAACAAATCGGGACCAGGCCTCCTCAGCTTAGCACTGGATCCAAATACAGGGGGAGATAAATTTTTATGCATTAAAAGAAAACAGTTAACAGGATATAGAGCAGGATACAAGATTAGGTAATCTGATTTTTAATTGGAAGAAAGATTAGGGACTTTCTGAGTTGGGAGGGGGAGAGTATTCAATCAAAGGAAAAAGAAAATTATAACTGACCAGTATGGGGCCAGTTTTCAGATAAGACATGGATTGCTTGAGGTGTATAATTGTGAGGAAACTCCTTGCATAAATCTTTGGGTCTGACTGGGTTTCTGGTCAGTATGACCCAAGTTCTTAATTAAGGGTCTCTAAGCAACACATAGAGGTGGTCAAGTTTCCCAGTCATGCAGGGGTGGGTTCAAACAATGCAATACGTAAAGTTTTCTCACAAGGCAGAAATTGGACTAGACCCAAAATTGAATAGAAAGGGAACTGAGCTAGGTCCAGAATTGAGTCACAAGATGGAGTCTGTATGGTTCAGTCAATTCCCACAAGCATAATACAGTTCTGAAGGATGATACAACCCTTGGGGACTTAGGACCTGCTGGAAAAGGAAGGAGAGTTGGCTTCAATGTTTATTAGGGGTCAGTCCTTTGTAGTTTTTGTAGGGTTAAATAAAACCTGTCCTACAGTCAATGTTTTCTTAGACTAAGTCTTTGTAGGGGATTTACTCTTTCTGTAAAGACCTAGACAAAAGTGAAAATTCTGAAGTACTCAAAGGAATCTTAGGAAGGGGACATGAGTCAAATTCTGATTTTAAGAGGGGAAACTCTGGATGGGGCAGAAAGCAATGAATGACTTGTGAGATTTGAGGCCATAGGTCACATAAGGTCCTTTCCAGTTTTATCATTCTACGATTCTATGCTTTCTACGTTTTGCCATGGCTGCTCCCATCTACAAGGAATTACGATTCTCCTCAACCCTTTGGGGAAGCAGGTAAGAAATTGGCTCCTGATAGGTCATAAAACCATCAGTCTTGTAGATGGAAAGGACTTTAAAGGGTCAATTAGTTTACCCCTCTAACTTTAGGCAGGTAAGAGGGACCCTTTCTACAAGTGAGGTAACTAGGTTTAGACAGATAAAATGCTTTGCCTGAGGTCACATAACTAGTTAGTGCCAGTGTGGACACTAGAACCCAGACTTCCATCCCTTTGGTACAATGTTCTTTCCACTACACAATACAGTCTTCCAAGGTCAAAGGGTTCAAGAGCTCAGTGATCATCTCTGCAGTATACCATACTAGTTAAGCCATACACAAGAGGATTCCAAGAGGAGAGATTATCTGTCTGGGGTACCTGGTCACATAAACAGAAAGGAAAGTTCTGGGCTGGGGCTGTAAAAGGTAGGTACTTAGAAAAGAATGATATCAAAAAGTAACTTAGTCAGAAAATGTCACACTGACCATTGACCCTGTTCAACTTCCCCAGAGGATAGAAGGGATTCACCAGCAGCCCAGTGGACCTTGGAATGTTTGACAGAATTTCACAGGACACAGAACAAGGGCTAGGGGACCATCAATAATTTTTATGTGCCACACTTTTGGAGAGGCATCAGGGCTGAGTACAAAATTGGCTCCCACCAGTGACAATTCATCTACTCATTCCACTCCTTTATAATATATGACTTTTCCTATGACTTTTAAAACAATGAAAAAGTAAAATTAGAGTGCACAAGTGTAAGGAGAAAGATGAATGATCTGAATTGATAAATTTGATTTATAATTCATTTCTGACTGAATAAATGGGAGACTGTTGACATTACCTGAGATAGACTGAATACAAATTCATTTTTATTCCCAGGGAATTTGGCAAATGAAAGAGTTTAGAAACCACCAGAATCACTGAAGCCGATTTAAACCTTTTCGCATTTATAAACAAATATATTTACAATAAGTCATCTGATGGAAGAGCAACATTGAGTTACCTTTAGACAAGGAGACTCCTGTGAGTCACAGTTTTCTTTGAATGCTCAAAGCCAGACTTTTAACCTTGAGTCCTGAAATGTGATTTCCAAGGAGGAATATGAAAGTTAATTTTTTAAAAATACAGCTCCCTCCACGTTTTTCTTATTACAATTCTTGAGTAAACTGTATTTGCTGAAATCTTGGGACAAGAGAGCTGTTAGTTACTCTAGGCCAATAGGCAAACAATTAATTTGACAGGTTTTTTTTTCTGAATGTATACATTTAGCTGATGATTTGGACATGTAAAGATGTAACTGTTAGTGTATATTACCCACTTAATGTCCATCATTTAGCTAGAAAACTTTGCCTGGTGCCTGGGAACATAAAGATGTGGCTGTTGATGTAACATTGCTCAGTTAAATGCCCATCACTAAGCAGAAAGCTAGTGTTTTGTGCTTAGGTTGACACTTCTATTCTCCACCTAATAATTATTTACCTGATGGCTCCTGTCTGCAATAAGAGCACATCCTGTCATCCTAAGGTCAGTGCTGCCTCAGAAACAGGAGGTCTAGCTCTCATAAGCTGCTCTGCCACAAGCAGATTTTCTAGACAGGGCTCTAGGTCTGTGGTCACATATAAAGCCCAGGTGACTCCAGCATATATAATTACAGCCCCAGTAATTAAAGCGCACTCAGAGGAATAAGAACCACACCCTTCTGCTTCTGTCACCTGGCTCATATAGTGTCTTATTCGTTGTCTTCAACGATGGCTGGCCTAAAAGAATGTCAATGCCAAATAACCAGGGAAGGGAGAGGAAGAGAGAAAGAGGAACAAATGGCTATAAGCAGCAGTGAATGGGAGAGGCAATGGGCTGAGGTGGAAAGTGCTCTAGGATAGGGGTCAGGACCCTTGGGATCCAGTCTTTGCTTTGCCACTAATTTGCTGTACGAATTTTGGCAAAAATTCCATCTCTCAGTCACACCTTGGTTTCCTCATCTATAAAGTGAGAAGATGGACATGCTAACATTTGATGCTCCAAGTTCTAACATGTGACATTCAAAGGTCACTTCTAGCTCTGACAACACATTATAATAACATTCTTTATTCTAAGATCCCTGTAAGTTCTGGCATTCTATGGTTTACGTTGTAAGGTCTGTTTCAGCGCTGACATTCTATGGTCTAATGTCCCCCCCTCTAACTCTGACATT